AAGCCCGTATGAGACCTCACATGCTGATGTGTCTGAGTTACAGTAGGCATATTACAGAAATACAGGTGCCTTTTTGCTAAGTGGAAGCTAAGTCAGAGTTGGTGTGTTGGCTCTGGGACAAGAAACCTCATTTCTTTTGAAAAAAGTAGTTTCCGAATGACTTTTCGTGTGATTTCTGACATGGATTCAGAGTTGGAATGAGTGAGTCAATCTACCTAAAGCACAGATGTGCATCTTGTCTGTTCCTGACCTGTGGCACATCTAGTTCTTGAGTAAATCTTGAGGCCAGCATCCGTATAGACAGTTGACTTCTATTTCATGGCCGTTATGTTTTACGCCTGATAAATTTTGGAATTTCTATAGCGACATTAAAAATTACCTGGGATCTCTTGATACTATGCTCATTCTAATTGAACTGTGGCTGAAATAATAAACCACAGACTCATCCTCCACAAAGAGAATCCTATGGAAAATCAGTGCCTGTGGCCTGGTGGTTTCAAATGATCAAGGGAGAAGAGGGTGACAGGTCGCCTACGCTCTAACACAGTTTCGTTGGCATTTAGGCATTTCCGAGCATCACAGGGATGCGCGTGGGCTAAGAGAGCCCAAGACGAGGTGTGCTGAAGTGAACTTGGTTTTAAGCAGTGGATATAGATCCTAGTGTGGTCCCAGGGACTGGAAACCCATGAGCAGTTTGAGCATGGTTAGTAAGCATGGTTTGTTTCATGCACATGTTTTTTGTTTGTTTTGTTTTTTTTTTTTTACCTGTTTTTTTCAAGTCTTAGTTTTACCTGTAAGGAATCTACTGCACATGCACTGTGACTGCTCCAAGGGGCAAAAGAAACGTGGGGCAAGCGGGAGATTTCCTTTAAAAGTACACTTGGCACTAAAACAGTAGTGTGGGTGCACCGTATTCTGCCGTATTTCCTGTAAATCCACAGAATGTTTTGAGGAAGACCTGGAATTTTTATGAGGCCGGAAAAAAGAACCTCAAGGATATTGTTACATTTTCAGAATGGATTTGGGACATACAGGTGCAAATAGCTTGAAATATTTTTAATGGTCCCTCTGCAAACTAGGCTAGAAACCCAAGACTGATAGGAATTATGAGTTGTTTCTACTTATTTTTTTATCCTTTTTTTGGTGTGTTTTCTGTTATTTAATTGCTTTATCTATAACAAAGAGCAATATTGATATCCTATTAAGTGCCCAAAACAAGTAGTCGATTGCACTTGAAAATAGCAGGTTTGGGGGAAATAAACTAGCATTAATGAAGTAGATCTTCTAGTGTGTGGGGTATGTGTGAACATGCATGGTTGCATACATAAGGATTATTTTTTTTTTCTCCTCTAATTTTCTCCTTTTCAGCCTTTCCTCCTCTACTCATGTTTCCATTTCCATTTACATGACGCCACTTTTAAGAAATCTTCCCCATCACCTCCCAAACAAGCCCTGGGGCCTTGTTGGGGCATTAGGGAAAATGGAATTCCCATGGTTTGTACGTTAGCGGGTTTTTCTTTCCCATTCCTGTTTTTCTTTGACAGACGTCCTTGGCAAGTTGTAACTTCAGCACAAAGTGAGGGGGTGGCCATGTGTGTTGAGCACTGAAAGCAATGTGGCTGGTGGCTTTGGGATCAGTGCTTCCCCTCTCCATCCCACCTCTGCTCCTTTTGGCCATCATCACCCTGACTTCCATCATGCGCAGTGGGGTTCACCCAGCTCTGAGCTGCTGCTCCAGCTGTCTGCAAAGTCTGCTTCCAAGGTCAGAGGGTGGCTGTGTTGCAGAGCCCTTTGAAGGCTGTCTGGCTTTGCCCCTAGTTTCGAGAGTGGGCACAGTGAATCCTGCAGCCAGAGGCAAGCTGGGTATCGATTTAAAACTTGTTGAAGGGTGAAAGCGTTATTGTACCCTCTCCCATCTGTACTTCAGCTGTATTTTTCTCTGTAATTTGACAGTTTGTGTTTGGGACGGGAAGGAGGGTGATTTGGTGTCTGTTGTTCTTCTCCCAATTCCTGGTTTCCCTCGGTTGTATGATAGCCGGGCGATAGTTGTCTTCGGGGCACTGGCTGAGCGACTGGTTTCGTGATGGAGAGTAAATACAGAAACAAGTTTTCAGGCGATTTAAATAAGCACCAAAAAAATGGATAAAGCAATATCTTAGTAAAAAACTGGAAACTTCTGCAGCTTTTTCAATTTTGTGTCCTCATCAGGCAAGCTCTCTGTTTATTGACCAGATTTCTGTGTTTTCCTAGTTACTACGGTACCAAAGCCGGTGTTGCAGTGCCACCTCTTGATAGCCGGGCAGGACAGCGGGTGCCATTGCTCGTCCCTGCTTTACCAAAGCATCTTGTGGAAAACACTTTGAAGCAGCCTGAAAAATGATAGTCGTTTGACGTGGGCAGGGTGAATAACACTTTTGACAGACAAGCAAAATGTTAGCTTTTTTCCTTTAGCTATCCAGATAGATAACAGGTAAATTTATGTGGCATCTCCACAATTCTGCTTTGAGTGGGGAGCCCTCTTTATATTAATAATGCAGGTCTTCCCTAGGTAGCAAATGGCACTCTCACCTGATTTCTGCATTTTGATCTATCTTTTTGGAGGATGCAGCAAGATTTTAAAAATCAGTAACAGACCCATGAAACAAACACCATTTGAATGTGTGTGTAATGTGAAAAGGCTTCTTTACAAGTCTTTTTTAATTCAGTTACCCTTTTTCTGAAGGAGAATATTGTTTGTCTTCCTACAGAACTTCTCTGTAACAAACAGTCTTAAATAAAGATGATTTGCGCCAGATATGACAACAAAACGTAGCTGAATAAAATTAGTGTTTGATCCTGCACATAGTAGAATTGATTGTTAATGCACGAAATGGTTAAAACTGGCATTCATTTCACGCGCTGCTCAATAAATGAGCACTCAAAGTATATTGTAATTTGGCAGGTGTACCTCGTACGTCAGGCATCGCAGGGAGCTGTGGATGGAGCGAGGTAGGGTTAGTATGGGTGTACCTTCACCAGTTGTGTTGCACTAGCTACAAGTTATTGTATTGGAGCGATTATTTTTTCCTTCAGAAACAAGAAGGATTGAAGTAGCTCTGCATTTTTATTTATTTCCTTAAGAAACTAAACCTGCCTTCACCTCTTCGGCAGCATGGTATGCTCTAGCAGCTTCATAAGCAGGAGATCTGGGTTTCTGTGGAGGTGTCCAGCATTGTGTACAGCCCCATTTCCCATGCAGGATAACCTCGCTCTCTCACTCCAGTCCCACTGGCCCCAGCTGGGTCTGAGCCTCCCTGTGCAGCTCTTGGATGGTGTCATTTTTCCTGTGCCCTCTCCAAACAGAGCAGGCAGTGCCTGCTGCCCTCCATCCTACCTCCAGCTATTAGCTAGGCAAGCGGGGATGAGTTTGGGGGTGTCCATGCGCTCCTGGATTCACCAGGGTTCATGTGTGGTTTCAGGCAAACACGCTCCTTTTGGTGTCTGGGTTCATCCTGCAAAGTCTCATCTTTCTTGGAGAGCTTAATTGGGTCTGTCCTCTACAATGCTTTGGGACGTGTAGGAAAGTCACATCTTGGAGAGCTCTTCCTGCTGTCAAATTTGTTTGCAATTGACTGGTAAAATTCAAAAGTTAGATGATAAGAAGGAGAGCGTGGTCATTTTACCCTGTTCCCTTGGGAAATCTTGCTAGGAAAAGATGCTTAGAAAGAGTACATAAAGCCTTTGGCTATTTGGCAGCCTTTTAATGCCGATCATCATCTTCTAGTTGCTGCTTACTGCTGCGTTCACCGATTTCCCACTTCGAGCGGTGACCAGCCTGACCATGCAGTCATGTAGCTGATCGTTAACAGCAAGAACTTTCTGTTTTGAACGGTACAAGAAAACATATTCTCTAGTCCTTTTTTGTGTTGCATCCAGGTCAAACTTTGTCAAATAAACAGTCGGAAAGTCACTTACCTTCTTAGACTCCGGTTCCATAGAAGAAAACAATGATGGTGGGCAGCTGGGTAAAGACCTTGAAGGTCTGCTGATGAGAAGCACTGGGTGGTACTAGGAAGTGGAGATGGACCTTATTTCATACTATTTTCTGGAAGCTGATGTTTTCACTTATTTACTGGATGTCGCGGGAAGATCAGGATTTTCAAGCATTCGGAAGTCATGAGAATGTTCTCAAAAATGGGCTTACAGTTAGGCACTGTATTCTGTCTCTTCATCTTCATGTTTTAAAGAATCTTGTTGCTTCATATTTTCAAAATCTGTCATCAAAAGTATATATAGTGTGATACATTATTTGTCTTGCTAAATATTTACCATTAATAAAATCAAGGGAAAATTGTGTGTATATATCCACCAATAGTTGTAATGCATGGATTGAAAGTCTACAGAAATGTTACTAAAAATGCTCTGATTAAAGCCTGTCTCTAATTTCAAGAATTCCTTTTGCAAAGCCTAAGTATATAACTGAGATATTTTTTTCTGATATTTAGTGGAAATAGCTGGGCTTTCTTTGAACAGATACAGTGTTGTAGCTCATATTGCACCTTTCTACTGGTGCAGGAGTAACTGAAAATTGAAGTAGATTAGAAAGTAAATGTGAGAACTTGCCTTGCAAGTTCCTGGTCTTCGTTAGCCAGGCAGAGAGAAATCTACACTTTGAAACATGTGTTCCATAGCAGTAATGTTGATCAGATGAAACTCATTTGATTATTTAAAAAAAAACCAACTGTGAAATGAGGCCTTTTTAATAATGATATTAAGTGGAACAGTTCCTCAGTCTGTAGCAATTTGCATCATTTGAGAATCCGGCCCTTCAATATTTAATTTACTGACCTTTATGTTGTGGTAAGACAAATGACTTTTTAATGACTACAGTAGACTTATTTGCATTATAAAATAAAACCATTGTCTATGCTGCCAGGGAGCTACTTTATAAATACAGCATTTGTTGAGAAATACGTGTTAGGTACTAAAAATATTTAATTGACCTACTTTTTTATTTTCAGGGTTGTGTCCTTTGTTGTGACCTCATGGTTTAACTGGGAATAAAGATGAGTATAAGCAGTGATGAGGTTAACTTCCTGGTATATAGATACTTGCAAGAGTCAGGTGAGGTTTTTATACTTCTGGTTGTTAAACAATGTATAATTTATTTGGTATTCATCTGCAACTGGCTTTAGCAAACACAGACTCATTTAACTATTTTGCCAGTAGGCATGTGCTTCTGTCTGAACTGTTCCTTGGTGTTTCTTCTCAACAAGAGAACGAATTCCTGCCAAGTTACCTTCAGTAACTTAATCAGATTTAGTCATTTGAAGTTTTCAGATGGCAGTCAACCAACTTAGGACTCTCTTGATTGCTAGAAATGCGTTTTCCTGGAGATCGCTTTTATCTACAGGGCGATGACGACACATCGCACCATTTTCTTTGGGGCTACTTGAAGAAGAAAAAAGAATGACCACCACAATACTGTTTTTCCTGTTCTGTCTTGGAGTGATGGTGATCTTGCGAGCTGGTCTTCGTGGCTAAATTCCTTGCCTGAATGTGACTGTAGGAGGGCAGATGTTGCTGTATTTCAAACGAAGAAGTGGCAACTGTGACCATACGACTCGTATCATTTGAATCTAAATACAGATGAACAGATCTCTTTTTACGGGAATGACTCTTGGGTTATCAAAATCGTCCCTCCCTGCAGGACAGGGACCGTGCAATCCCTTGGAGAGTTTTGTACTTCAGTGTCAGGCTAGCCAAAGCCTCCTGCTTCTTAGGAGGAAGAGCAAAAGACAGATGAATATTTTCAAACTTGAAAACAAACTTGACGCTTCTTGAAAACGCATTTAACTGATGCAACACGTGTCTACTGCTTAAGTCCACTGCTCATGGACTTCTCAAATTGAGACAGAGAAGCACCAGAAGCAATGATGGATGACAGTTTTTCAGTCTCTGCTTGACAGAGGAAAGCATAAACTTCTTATTCCAAATGCGGATTGTTTTTGTCACAGAAGCCAAACTTACAAAATGGCTTTATCTTCATCTGAAAATTTGCAGGCAGCTTTCTAGTTACCTGACAGGGAAAAAAAAAAAAAAAATCAGTAATTTAAGAAAAAATTATGTGGCAGTAAAGTTAATTGGCTGAAACAACTATTTTTCTCTAGGTGAAATTCACCTTTTCAGGGCAATCAGATAAATAGCAAACACCTGCCAGTGCTGCACCATAACATGCTTGCCACTTCTTAACCAGTGTGCAATACTGATGTAGTTCTAAGTGCCAAAACATACACATTTATGACAGCACTGTATCACAAAGTGAATTCCGTTCTGTCTACAGATCCGTTTCACTTTCATGGGTAACATATCAGTGAGTAAAATCAAGAAGTGAGTCGTGGTGTCTTGGAGATATATACTTTATTAAATACTATATATGATACTATATATATAGTTTTAGAATATATAAATGTATGTAAATACTATTGTGTTTTGTGTATTTTGTATTTTTATATTTACCCATGCACAAATGGTTTGCCAATGATACCATAATTAATAATTGCTGTGTTTATATATAAACTTAGTTTTTGTCTTTTTGTACTTTTAAACTAGAAACATATAAAAGGAAAGCAACAGAGATGTTTTTATGAGATTTTTTAGTTCGTAAGCATGCTATAACTTTGTTTAAGTTGCTTAGATTTGTAAACAGAAGGTCTTACAGTAGTATGGCAAGTAGCATTGCCTATCTGTAGATCAATTCTGATGTTTTTGCCTTGTCTTTAGGGTTTTCCCATTCAGCATTTACCTTCGGTATAGAGAGCCATATCAGCCAGTCGAATATAAATGGTGCTCTGGTGCCACCAGCTGCTTTGATTTCCATCATCCAGAAAGGTCTGCAGTATGTAGAGGCAGAAGTCAGTATTAATGAGGTAAGGATGCTCCGCCTACAGGAACATTATGTCCTTGCTTGCAGTAAGTTTGAATGTTAGTATTCTTTCTTAACTTTCTTGTATCCTATTTATTTACTTTTACTTCAGATTCCTTACTGCTGGTGTTCACCATGACTCCAGTGGTGGAACCAGAATGGAGTGACATAACTGGGTAGGGTTCTGCCCAGTGCAGCCACACAACACCAGGCATGGTGTTCTGGCTCATTGCTTAAAGGTCCGTTGCCTGTAGAGTTTTTACCCTAATATAATGTTGTAGTAAATCCAGAGAAGTGCAATACAATAATCATTGAGACAACTAACCTCTTAATTTTGGTTGTTGGTAGACTTGCACTAGTGAGGTGGGAGAGCACTATGCAGCTCTCGTGTGGGTGATGTGTCATTATAATGAAATAATGAGAGCCCAAAGGCGAGGTTTCCAAATAGAGAGAGGGTTTCAGTTCGTGGCAGGAAGGATGAAGGTATATGCCAGTTTGCTTTTTGCCTCTGCTGGCTAATTCATCTTGAGCAGGATCTATTAAATTTGATGTTTAAACGGTTATTCCAGCAGTACAGAAAGCTATGTATCTTCCTGCCCGATGCTGCGGATACTCACCCTCAATTTCCATTCTCATTTATGCCTGGAGGTTAGCAGCCTTTGTATGTGTCAGTTATGTTACAGAAGGAAACCATTTTTTTCGCTAATTCTGCTCTTTCCAGTCTCCTTTACATCTTCTGTTTATGTGTAGTTTTCACAGTCCCAGTGAAGCAAATCTTTTCCCTTAGGAAGCCTCAGAAAAATAAAGCAAGTGATCGGAATAGAAGAAGGAGACCCTATATTTATCACAAGGAATCCTTCTAGCTCCTAAAAATAGATCCTTACAAAGCCCTAGCATATGTATACGGGTATTTTTAACTGGGTCTTGTCCATTTCAGGATAAAATTCTTCCTTGTTGTTTGAAAGCATGCCAGCACTGTTTAAAAAAAGGAAGAAAACTAGTCAACTCTCCAGATAATGTTTATGGAAAGTATTAGTCTAATAAGATAGAATAACTTCACAAGCCAGTGACCCGACTTGCAATGGTTGCAGCTCTTCAAACAAACCATTAGATTTTGTCGCAGCCACTCATGTTTGAAATCATATTCATAGATGGCTTACAGGATTTTTTGCTTTAGCAGATGATTTAGCAAGCTCAAAGCGTAAAAGTTTTGATTCCAGAAGCTCTGCCAGAGGCCTGCGGTGGCTTTTTTTGGTGTATTTATGGTGTCCACTTAACTTAGACTAAAATTCCAATCCTAACGGCAACAATGATAGTAGATCATTTCCAGTACCATTTGTAAACTCTTTTATGATATTAAATCAAAACTTTTGCTTTAGTTTTCTTTGGAATTTTTGCCCATAAAGTTAATTTGTACTTGGTGTTGTCTTTTTTGTTTGTTTGTTTTCTCCCTCTGCCATAATTTAGGATGGTACCTTGTTTGATGGTAGGCCGATAGAGTCTCTCTCACTGATAGATGCAGTAATGCCTGATGTGGTACAGACCAGACAACAGGCCTACAGAGATAAACTTGCACAACAGCAGGCAGCAGCTGCCGCGGCTGCAAACAGGGATCAGCGAAAAATGGAGAAAATACCGCAAATGGAGAAGAGAATGGAGCACATACTATAGCAAGTAAGTTGAGACAGAAATGACCTTAACCTACGTTAATGTCGTTTCCTTGTCATGTGTTGTAGTACGAGCTCGTAGTACAAGCTAGTAGATGATGAGGTATATGTGATGTGTAGAGGTACTAGTAACCCTTCAGCTTGCAGAGAATACCTTTGTCGTAGGTGGTACTTCCACAGGTAGTGTCTCACCTTTGGCTGTCCACAGTTTGATATTTGGAATTGCAGGAGGAGATGCAAACTGAGTTCATTAATTTGCAATATTGCTTTGACCAATCTCACTTCCAGTACTGCTCCTTTCCCGTCATCTGAAGGTTTTTCACAAGGACCCTCTGAGAGCTCTTGCATAAAGAGGAAAAAAAACCAAACCAAAACAAAAAAAAGTCAGCTCTTTAAAGCCTGCATTTCCTTAGCTTTGGCCCCTGTACAAGGAATAAGGAGAGGAGTCTGCTAATCCGCAGCTGGTTAAAACTGAGCATTGCTTGTGAAACTCCGCAAACTGCTGCTGGCAGGTTCTGCTAACCCCATGAATCAGAGAGCTGTAACCGGTGCTCTGAAGGACAGGCTTCCTTGTCATGCTGAAATCATGATGGTTGCTGAGACAAATCCTGTGTCATTTGTCTCCTTTATCAGTATCAGTTTTCATGATTTGCTCTTCCAAGTTATTCGATGCAACTGCTTGCGGTTTTGGTTTATTCATTTGTTCCGTTTCGGTTGTGATTGGTGAAACAAGTGAGTTTTATTTGTCATCACTAGTCAAGGGAACATACCTTACAATCGGGCTTAGTATAGAAAAGTTCAGGTCAGGCATTAAAATGTGATTTCAAAAATATGCTTCTGAAAGTCTGAATTACACATTTGAGAGGGGGAGTTATAGTTTTTGCTGTAAAAGCACCTGAAAAAAAGACATTTTTTAGAGAATACTCATAGCAAGCCATGTGCAAGTTTTGCATTTTACAGATGGATTTTACTAGTTTTTTTTCATTATTATATATGATAAATAAACTGGAAACGTAATCTTTGGCTTAAACAAATAAGCTCTCTACTTTGACGCTCCCATTTAAAAATCTCAAAAGAATATTTACTTTTTAACTGTGAACTGGATGAAGTAAGCATAAACTTCAGATCTCAGCCACTGTTAAATGTGATATACCAGCAACCCCTACTGGCTGGTACACCAAATTATACTGGCATTGATTCTCTTTAATTGAAGCAATGTTTTATATAGTGCTTTTTCTTAAAAATATGCGTGTTTTAATACACTTTTCTGTTTTCTCACACATACAAACAGTGACAGAAACCCTTAATGTTAAAATAAGCAATAGATGGGAAATGGTTTGTTTAACCACTATGAATAAATATGGAGCAGGTGAACTGTTCAGCATTTTTTGTATTCTGCGTCTATACTCAGTGTGAATTTATTTTTAATAATAGAAAATGATTGATCATAGCTGCCAAGAAAACTGTTTTGTCAGTTGAATTACCCCCAGTATGTTTTACAGAACAATATGGATTCAACATCACTTCCACGCAGAAAGCTATGTATTGCCACAATTCCACGGTAATTACTGATGCAGTTAAAAAAGCTCTGTTATCAGTTTACCATATCACCAAATGTTATTCTATTAATTAAAGCTATTTTATAAATGAACTGTTTGAGATATAGATTTTAAAACTGTTTGACTGCAGTTGGTGAAAGGAGACGTTTTTGAAAACGAATGCGTCGTAATTGTATTTTTGAAGCACAAGATAGACTCGTAACACACTGTACTATGGAGTATAGTGCCTGAAAAACTGAGAGTACTTTTTAACATCAGTGTTTATTTTTCAGCATTGCAAAAGATTAACTTTTGGCCTCAATTTTGAAGTTTTAAAATTAAATCCATTTGGATGCTGAAGTTTAGAAGGGCTAAGAGCTTTCTAGTATTTTTGAAACTCCCCATCTGTTTATAGTATTTCATGAATTGGAACTGGGAAAATAAAGGAACATTACAGCTCTGTCAAATTTTGATCCTTGTAAATTGTGAATTAATTTTTATGTTCAGACCAGAAGAATATGAACCGTACAGTAGTTAACAATGTATCGTCCCAAAATATTGAAATCGACTTCTCTCTACTGTTGTTTCCCATAATGTAGATAATCACACAGATATGATGGAAGTAGATGGAGATGTTGAAATCCCTCCCAACAAGGCAGTGGTGTTGCGTGGCCATGAATCTGAAGTATTCATCTGTGCCTGGAATCCCGTTAGTGACCTTTTGGCCTCAGGGTATGTGCATTAACCATGTGTGTACCTAATATCGGTGTTCATTGGCATGCTTCTGTACCGCTAACAAGTTAAAATAACACTCACCCCAATGCCCCCTACATCAAATTCCACAACATTTGCCGTCTTGAAAGGAATAGCTTTTAAAATGGAATTAATTGAGAGGAGGGGTTACATTCTGATGAACTGTTCCGTAGATCCGGAGATTCGACAGCACGGATATGGAACCTCAGTGAAAACAGCACAAGCGGCTCTACGCAGCTGGTACTTCGACACTGTATACGAGAAGGAGGGCAGGATGTACCCAGCAACAAAGATGTGACATCGCTGGATTGGAACGTAAGTAGAAATGGCAGTGCTCGAAATAATCAGAAAAAATTGTACCTATAATTTTGCAAAGTCAGATTTTAAGTGACAGCAAGTGTGCATCCTCCGCTATGGCTTGTGAAATATTTTGATTTCTGGAGTTGTGTTGTAATTTATTGTCTTGTACTTCAGGGACAAGAAGCTTAATAAGCTGTAGTCGATGGAATAAGTACCGTAAATCTTATGCAGATGTATTCTACCTGAAATTTGCTTTGTGCTCTTTAGCTTTGAGTTATACAGTAAAAATAAATAAATTAAATAACCTTTTTGCTGGCAGAGTGAAGGTACACTTCTAGCAACTGGGTCTTACGATGGCTTTGCAAGGATATGGACTAAAGATGGTAAGTGAAGTGCTTTTAATTTACACCGCATTTTCCTGTATTGTGGCTCACAGCATAGTTTTTTATTTTTTTTAATGTATTCATATCAATATAAATTTTCAGGTAATCTTGCCAGCACCTTAGGGCAACATAAAGGTCCTATATTTGCGTTAAAATGGAACAAGAAAGGAAACTTCATTTTAAGTGCAGGAGTGGACAAGGTGAGATAATCTTTGGTAAAATTAAAATTCTTTCCTTCACCGTTATAACCTAATTGTAAGCAAAGCTATAGAAAGTAAGTAAATTAAACTAAAGGAATGGGACGTATAAATATGTACTTACAAAGAACTTGTTATGCTAGCTGTGTTTTGTTGTGTTTTATAGTAGTTTATTGAGATATTTTATTAGATTTCAGTGTCCCCGGATCTCTTTCCTATTAGGTTAGTGTAAGTTGGAAAGTAAGTGCATTGAATGCAGAAACATTAAACCTTTGTAAAACCGAATCATGTAAACTTTAGTGAAGCATGTTATGCAAAGCCTCAGAAAAAAAATCGTATTGGAGGAATGTGTTCAGGCTGATTTGGGTATCAATCAAGCCTGGGAATGATTAAAAAGGTTAGAGCTGGAACATAACAAAAGTCAATATATCTGACTGGGGAGGTGCTAGTAGTGTAATGCCATGAAGCTCATTGTTTAACTATGTTTTATTTCACATCTCTAAACAAGCTTAAAGACTCACAGGTCTTTAAATTCCAGGCTGTTGTTAGTGTGTGAGATTTTATGAATGGTAGGAAGGGCACGTAGTGATGAAGAATAGACGTAAGACAAATTCAAAGAGTAAGAAGAGTTTAGTTTTTCCCCTGTAACTGATTCAAGGTGCAGAAGTGAACACAGGCTTCTCTTAGTGACACTGGCAAACTGCAAGCTCAGTAAGTCCACAGGCCTGCAATGCTTAAAACCACCAGTGTCACTGTGAAGTTGTAGATTTACTCCTTTACTTATATTGCTGTTTTTTCCTGTACGCATTTAACCTGGTTCGCTTTAGTGCCCGGCTTTACAAATGCTTGTGCTGGCACAATGGAAGGAAAAGTAAACATTCAGAGCATGGAAAGAATGGGTTTCTTATTTTGGCAGCTGTGGTGGCTTATGCCAGTTTTTAAATCTATGCGTAGGTACAGCTCTGATTCACAGAAAAGTGTTCTGGAGGAGGTAGGAGTTTGGTTTCGGTCAATAAAACTCCTTGGACAAAGCAACTGAGATTACGCTTTGAAAAAATACTCTGCATTGCCAGAAAGATTGACCCAACCTTATGCTTCTTTTCCATAAATAATTTGCGTGATCAGTTCATGCTTCCACTGATTTCAGTGTCAAAACTTTCATTGATTGTTGAGGTAGGTCAGGAATATTGGCATGTAATATAGTGATTATAAAACATTAATTTTGTCATGTAAGATTTCTTTTATCAGAAGTATTGGCAGAGAACAGCTCAGAACAAAATTTCACCCTTAAATATTTCAGATTCTTAAGTATGTGACTAATTGTTTAAATAAAGATCTCCTTAGGAACAAAGGAGTATTTGAAATCACAATTTGAATATACAAGTATTTGAAATTAAAATAGGTGTGTGGAGTGGATTAGAAGAATATAAATAAGACTAAGGAGATAAATCTGTTTAACTTTTATTTATGAAAAAGCCCACAACCCCTTTCTTCCCTCCAGACCCCGAAATGTTAGGATTAAACACCTTTCTAATATTACAACATACTAAAGTTTTCTACAGTTGTTTGCACATCTACTACCATTTCCTTTAGTACTGGGTTAGAACACTAGAAATATATAACTGGAAGCAGGTTTGGGCTACGGAGAGCAGACAGGGTAGTCTGGTACATGTGAATGGTGGTAGTTGTGGAGAAATTAGCAATTGTACAAGTTTGTTTATTTATCTGTTTAATACAGACCACAATTATTTGGGATGCCCACACTGGCGAAGCCAAGCAGCAGTTTCCTTTTCATTCTGGTAAGTCTGGATTTGATCGTTCATAATTGTCATCCAAAAAGACAAAAAAAGTGTTATTTATTTAAAAAATAAATAAATCAGTAAATCTGAAGTTTATGGAGCTTATATACACCTTTTTCAAGTCTTACAGGCAGTCGTTGGACACTGTCTCCCATATTTGGAGTCTTACGAATTTTGGAAATGCAAACAAAGTTAGAATTGTTCTGATTTTATAACTTTTTAACTTACAATTTTTTTTGCAGTTCTATGAAAGTCATAAGAGATAATCCAAATACTACCGACTTTCTGTAGTACAGTGGCAGACAAATCAAGTGGGTGGGCCACGAAGGATTGGTGTTTGTCAGCTAAGGATGGCATTTGTCATCTTCCTGCTACAGTAATCACAGCTCCGCATCCCATTGTTCTGCGCCGCCTGCTGTGCTGTCCCCAATTTGTTTGGCCACAAACCAGCTGAAAGGCTGCTCGCTGGCCAGCTGGGATGAGAGCGCAGCCTCTCAGGAGGTCAGACAAATTGCTTTGTGGGCTGCACGCTGGGCAAGCCTGCCAGAATCAGCTGGAAAACAGAATAGAGAGGATGATGAACATGTCATTGAAGGGCCTTTAAGAAACATGCCTCGTTTCCACTTTTGTGTTCCTCTCGCGCCACGTTTTCAGTGGCATGACAACAATCAAAAACATCAGTTCTTGATCTACTCTGTGTGCTGTCTGCCGTAAGTGTCTTGGCTTGATCAAATGGAATATGTCGCCCATGATTAAGCTTCAAGTTACCACACCTTATAATGCTGGAATTAAAGGAAATAAATCATTACATCTCACTGGCTGCCGTCTATCAGCACAGGCATGGACTTAGTGAAGATGAGCTCATGCATGACGATGTGTTAAGTTGTGGGAACCTGTTCCTCGTGCTGGCTCTTGACGTTTATTTATAGATGACAACTACAGCTTGTTGTCTTGCTGCACTATCTTCTGTATAACTGTTTCACTTCAGATATGTTTCAAGTTTTAAGGACTTCTATTAAATTTTGTTTCATTTCTTCGTGTAAGACTGGTTTTGGGTGCATTTCTCACTGTTCATAGTGTTTGATTATCTTTAGAACTGATGTGAAATTATTGATTGCTTCCTGTTGACATTTGTTCTAAGGTGGTGCATGCTAAATTTGCAAATCAAACTCCTGCAGAATACATACCATAGTTTTAAATATCTTTCTTTTTCTTTTAGCACCAGCATTAGATGTTGATTGGCAGAGTAACAACACATTTGCCTCTTGCAGTACAGACATGTGCATTCACGTCTGTAAGCTAGGACAAGATAGACCCATCAAAACCTTCCAGGGTCACACAGTAAGTACTGGAAAATTGAGGGTTGCTATACGGTATTTTTATTAATAAGAGACTGGGGGCCCAGTATACTACACAGTATACAGCACTTGTGTAGTGGCTGGTCTTTGGCAATAGGCAGTAGATATGCATAGGCAGGTAGTTGTGGTTAAGGTCATGTGCTAACTGTAGTCTTTATCATTGTTAGAAGAATTTTCATTCATGCACAGCCGCCTTTATCAGTGCCAGGACGGCATGGCAAAACTGAGCTTTAGAGGAACAAGCATGGTAGCTTTGAGACTTTGCTGTGCACAGCCTGTGTCGTGTAAGAGCATGCGTGGCAAAATGCGATGAGCAGGTAGCAAAAAGTTGTTGTTGTTGAAGGCAAAGCTAGGAATGAAAATTAAATGTTAAAATACCGACAGTTATAAAAATACTCCTAACTGCTGTCCAACTTTATCTTTTGTAAGCTGTCATTTGTAATGGAAGTGAAGACTCCAACTTACTCTCACTGTTCAATTTTAGAATGAAGTAAATGCAATCAAATGGGATCCAACTGGTAATCTTCTGGCATCCTGCTCTGATGACATGACTCTGAAGGTAACGGGAATTCTCACACTGGCTCTGGAGTGCGCACCATTAGCTCGGGCAATCCAGCAGTATCACTGTACTTGCTGTGTCGTCTAATATTTGTTCTTTTTTAGTATAACAAGATTAGGCAATGCTAGCAAATCCTTGTTAATCAGAGCCAAGCTTTGGTCCAGAGAACTTGTTACAGGCTGCCACGCTGAGACTTGGAGCATGATTTATTAGGTGCTTTTAGCTGTTTACAGAACCAGGTCATTAATCATTAAGCTGTCATGCTTGATGGTGGCTTTTAGTTAAAAGGAAGAGTTGGAATGCATGTCATGTAACACATACAGGAATCGGTGACTACCTCTGTTCCTGGTTTTCTTCCGTTTTTTCCTTCTTTCTAGTTAAAATCTTTGATATATTGTTTCTTAAGAGACTGTGTGTACTCCTTGTTTTTTTTCCAATTCATCAGGAGTCATTCTACAGTTTTCAATTGCACCTACGCTTTTCCTTCAGATAATTCATAGCAACATGCTTGCTTGTAGATGTGGGGCAAACTTGTGAATGCAGCAGAGGATACTGTAACTTCCACATATAACTTCAAGGCGCGCTAGAGATCCATACAATAATACCACCAGGTTAGATGCGCTAGAAGAAGTGAGGTGGTTCATGGTGGTGCTGTTTCCATGTTACAGATGCTTTTCCACTACCCTTATGCTGCTTTATATTTAGGGAGTGTTTTAGCACTGTGTCTGGTAGAGTTTCAGGATATGTTTTTTTCTGTTGGCAGCACTGTCCTGCTAGTAGCCCTTGGGACAGTTATTTCCATCTAGCTCACTGTTGTTTAATCAGAGTCAGGGAATGGCTGAATGAGTAGCCAGATATCCCCTCCTGTGCTGGCACACAGTCAGGCACTTGCAATGGAAATGACCTTATCTAAACATAAACATTTAAGCATCAAGCCTCCAGTCTAAAGCTCGACGTCTAGACATCTTTAGTCAAGTGTCTAGCACCTCTGAAGAGCAATTCATCCTTTCCTAAGTTAAGTGCCTAAGTCAAGTGTGATGAGTAAACCCCTGAGAGCATCAGTCATTCTCCATTGGCGATGGATGGAGACAAAATAGCCAGCTTGAGGTAGATATTTAATACTTACACAGCTGAAAGTCAGGTGAGACGAATTCCGATCCAGAGCTCAAGCTGTTGCTGCCTCATCTCAGTGCGTAGAGAGGTGACAACTGGCAACATGTCACCGTTTGTGGGCCAGGCAACTCAGGTAATTAACTTCTTGACTGCTGTTTTGAATTCAGCCCGTCCTGGAAAGAATTTTATCATTTTTTTTCGGGATTAACTGGAAGACCAATTGCTTGTAGATAAGTCTGCGCATCACTAATCGCTTGTGGATCACTTACTTTTCAATGGCACTAGGAATGAATGTCAGGTTTTGAAGCATATGGAAGATGCCTAATGATTGATCTGTTTGTTTGTTTATGTTTCTCTCCTGTGATGCCAACTTGGTATTCTCTAGGGCAGCTAATATGGACTCTTTTCATCTGTATTAGTTTTGAGAAGAGAAGCTAGATTTTGGTCCCATCAATTTAAACTGGAAATGCAATCTTAATTCTGTCTGCACATTGAAAATCAATTTCCCCTTCAATGAGGCCCCAGTTCTGAAAAGCATCACTCATTCAAACATACACCTCAATTGCATCTTAAATACAGTTGAGCTTAAACATGCTTCTGTTAGCTTTTTCTACCAAAAGGTGAGCTCAAAGCACTACTAAACCAGATATCATTTAAAAAAACATTCAGATTATTAACTACTGTATCAAGTTTCACATTTAGGAAAATATATAAAAGCCTTCCAAAAACACTTCTGTATGGAATGCAAATTCTTAACAGAGTAAAGTTATTTTGTTTGTTAAAGGATATCATACAGGAGTTGGAGTCCTAAGGAACAGTGTGAAGTACGGAACAAACACCTGGCAATGCAAATCCTAATAAGCCAGGAAAACGTCATCGTAGTTTCTGCTGTGTGCATCTATGGCTTTTTATGAAAACGGAGAATTTCACTGCCACCCCTTTATTTCACTCGATCTGCGTAGCAAGGAGTTCATTTAAAAATAGGACTGTGACATTTTTTCAGCTCAGACATGAGCATATACATATTGCTCTTCTCATTTTAGCATCTGTTATTGTCTCTGCACTTTTCAAGGGGCTTGTAGTTAGCACATGCAGATTGGTTTCTACAGACAGTACCTTTATCACTCATTAACCCCATCAGGTACTTATAACTCAAAGAATGGGGAGGGTACTGGAATAATACTTGCCGTAATTACTCTAGAAACTCAGAAGTCATAGCAAATGTTTTGAGTGGCCTAAAAGGTAGCAGTCAGGCTGCAAACAATAAAGAAAGATGTAAAATGTATTTTAGCACAATATTGTGCGAAATGTCTTTGTGTTTTCTTCCGTTTTTATCATAGATCTGGAGTATGAAACAAGACAGTTGTGTCCATGACTTACAAGCACACAACAAAGAAATTTATACTATCAAATGGAGTCCCACAGGACCAGGAACAAATAATCCCAATGCCAATCTCATGTTAGCAAGGTACTATTTAATCCTGGTTTTAAACGCCTGTTAAGCATTATTTTTACCTCACTCTTTATATATGTAGGTTCACAGAATGTGTTGAAGTATGTAGGATACTTTATCATATTGTGTTTATATTAGAAACAAAAATATGTCAAATTGAGATGTAACTAATCTGTGTTTTTTCCCTTGACAGTGCATCCTTTGATTCTACGGTTAGGTTATGGGATGTAGACAGAGGAATTTGTATTCATACTCTGACAAAACATCAAGAACCTGTGTACAGTGTAGCTTTCAGTCCTGATGGCAGGTACCTGGCCAGTGGCTCCTTTGATAAATGTGTACACATCTGGAATACACAGGTATAGCTCTTCTGTCTGTTTAGAAGTTTGTGTTCTGGTCTTTTCCATCAGCACCCTTCCAAACTCTGTTGCTTCATCATGTTTTGGCCACAAAGAGCTTTGCCATTCCTAACACACTGATCTGCATTCTCCTTGTTCTAAGGTTATTGCTGTTAATGGGTGTGCATTTAATTTCTCTCTCTGAGTACTTGCCTATGGTGAAGTAATAATTGTCTTTAGGTTATCTTTACTTAGCAGAAAAACCAACCGACTGGCCAACAAACAAAACACCACCGAAATAAAACAAACAAAAAACCCACCACCAACAAAACATATTCAACGAAGTGTCTCCAGTAACATGTTGCATCCAAACATTGTCTTTAACTCTGAGCTTTAAACTCTTGATAAAATAGGTTTGCTGTGAAAATTGATGACTGGATGCAGATGTACAGATCTGATAGCTATTTCACTGAAGAAACAAGAGACTGGGAAGTGAGAGATGATGATGACAACAAAATGTTTCTACATAACTTTCTAAGAAAGGGAACTATTAACTTGTTTTGTATTTCTGGCGAAAATGATCTGATTGTGAATGAAAGTCTGAAGACCTTGTTGTTAGACAAGGTGTGATCTCTGGCTACTAGCAATTGGATATGAATTTTTGAAAGGTTCACTTTTGTGATTCGAAGTAGTGATGACCATCCCCAGTTTTCCTGTCAAACATGAGATCAAGATGCAGTAACTGTGTTTGTCACATCCTTTGACACAGCGCGGAGATTGTCCACAAGTCTCATCTGGACCATTTCCTCTGAGAATTTCAGCTTTTAAACACAGTGCGGAAGCTTTATATGTTGTACTTTTTGTTTTACTTTTTCACTTGGATTTCGTTATATTAATTACGTGTTTTGTCCCTTTTTAGACAGGTGCCCTAGTTCACAGTTATCGGGGAACAGGAGGGATTTTTGAGGTTTGCTGGAATGCAGCAGGAGACAAAGTTGGAGCAAGTGCTTCAGACGGTTCAGTAAGTGCAACTTGACTTGTTTGACGTTCTAACAACAAGCATCTTTTGGAAATCTTTTGACTAACAGTGGAGACAGTTTCCTTCTGTAGCTGAAGTTTAATACGGCCGGTTCACATGTAGACTTTCACATATAAGGGGGCTGTAATTGAAAAGGAGAATGTGTCTTTATTCCATCTTAATGCATTACTGTTCTAAACCCTCAGAAAATCTCAGATGGTGAAGATGCCTCTAATTTACATTTTCTGTCCCTGTGGGGCTTACCATGGATATGTATTCATTGTGGCTGGTCTTTTCATTATAGTCTGGAAACAAGTTCATTTTTGCCTCTTTGCCCTTTTCCAGTGAAAATGTTCAGCGTAGATGATACGACTGCAAGGCAGGATAGGAATTAAATATCTTCTGCATTGCAGTCAACAGAAAGAGCAGCAAAACAAAGTACAAATTTCTGAATGCTCGTAATGAAAAAGCTCTTAAAAATGACACGAGCTATTTGTAAATACCGGTTTGTTTCCATTGCTTAGAAGAAGCAGGGGATGAAATTGTATGTTTAACTAATCAGGAATGCACCCTCCATCAATTCATAGTGGTGTATTGTAGCATCACCTCCTAGCTCTTCTGACATTGTCCTGCAAAATATTGCAGTGAAATATTAATGCACAATTCTTCATAGCAGGTGCAATAGTTGTTTTTTTGCTTGTGCCTCTTTTGCCATGGTTTTAAAGGAAAGGAGAAGAGAGCCTAAGGAAAAGCAAAATTTGAATAAAATAGGAGTGATAAAGGAATTGTATTTTGAAGCACTGTAGCTTAAAGTAACAAGTGTCAGCAAAAAGCAATCCTGGTGGCTTTGTGGTCCAAAGTCTCAGGTAGTATCTTAACAGAGGTGCCAGAGCGTCCTCCTGTCCTGCATGCTCCATGCTGGTGAGTTCTCTTTGTCAGAGTTCAGAACAGAAAATAGGAAGTTCTGAATTTGAAGTAGACTAAACTCTAGAGAATTAATTTTGATTGTTCTTTCATATCATTTTAGTTTTATAAGTATAGACAATATCATAAAAGGAACAAAAGCTCAAGTCATATCCTGAGTAGAAATTAATTATCATTCCACTCTGGATGACCCTTTTACATACATGCTGTGTAACCTTTCCAGTCTTCCAGTTAATTTGACCCAGGAGGCTGATTGTACTTGCAACAGATCAGTTTTCATCTAGTTTTGGCTCTTTTGAAAATGTTGGTTTTATTTCGGTTTATACCGTTTGCTAGTGAAAGCCCTCCTCATCCCCTCGTTTTTTTAAATATACTTACAGCTTTTGATAACTAAGCAAACAGAGGCACATTTGAACTGTTTTGATGACTAAAAGCATAGCTTTTGTATGCCTCTGTTTTACTAGTAGAGTTCTATATCTGACAGAACTAGAACAGTAACTAGTTGTTCACGTTCTGATTCATTAGGCAGCAGTACCCTTAGCAGGGCTGGCTGGGTGCTTCCCACCCTCTTCCCATCCATTGTTAAGAGATAAAGACGAAGCTTGCACGGTCTGTTTCATAGGTTTTATTCAGATATTTCACACAGAATTGTAAAAATGTGGAATATTGTGCAATTTCTGTATACGTATTTCTTTTTCTTACAGGTTTGTGTATTAGACCTACGGAAATAGCGCTACTAGTTGGAAGCCATGGACCGACTATGAATGTGTACATAGCCAAAATGACTGTCCCTGACCCATGTACTGCTATAGTCCCAATTGAACCATGGCCAGTCCACTACAGCCAAACGTAAAAGAAATATATACATACACTGTATATAAAAAAGAGAGAACAAAAAAATTACACCCTGAAGAGAATGACAGAGTTTTGTCACAGCTTGTGAATCCTGTTCACCAAGTGCTGGAATCTGCTGTGCCCCAAAATAACATTTAAAGGTTTTGGATATGAAAAACAGAAGAGAGAGCGAGAGAGAGAGAATATACCGTATACAAGAGCAGACCCATATACATACCAAATTCAGAAGATACTAATGGCAGCCTTCATTACCCCTTCCCCCCTGTAAATCCGTTACGATAATGGATTGTGGGGTGTTTTTGTTTCCCTTCTCGGTAGTTGAGCAGTTTGTGTGTACAGAGAAAATGGACTTACAGAAATCTGCAGCAGTAGTTTTTTCTTTGCTTTTAAACATTGGGTTTTCTGTTTTGTTTTGGTTAAGTTTACGGATGCATGAAGTAAGGGAGTGAATTAGTTCCTTGTTTATACTTTTTCACCTTGGAAAAAAACGTTTCTTTGAAACATATTTTGATGCATTCTTTGAAGAGATAGATTGAACCTGATAATGTTTGGTACATTTTGTGGCTCCCAGAGCACAATTTTGTGTATGGAGGGAGGGTGGAAAAGGGATTATGGAGAGAGAAGAAAAAAGTCCTTCGAGGCGTGATATTTCATGTCCTGCTCATCTACAAAGTATGACAGTAATGGGTATAATGCTATGTTTTATTTTCTGGTGACATGGCTGAAATGCAGTAGTTTCTTATTTGGGACATAATTCTGCCAAACTTAAGAACAGAAGGGCACAAAAATATGGAAAAGAAAAAAACAGGGATGCAAAAAAAAAAAAAAAAAAAAAAAAAAGGAAAGAAGAGGAAAAAAAAATGCATCTTCTGTTGCTTTAAGACCATAACTAAAATATGGTTAAATTGTGCACTATTGTGAAAAGGAGCAAAGTATAGCTGGGGGATCATGTTTAAGAGGTTTAAGATCTTTCTGGACAAGGGTTCATGCCACAGCTTCTCTGAGAGTTGCCCATCATTATTTGTAGGAGCTTAGATGTGTAATTGTAACCAAACTCCAGTATTAAAAGTATCTCATGTAATTTTTCTTTATTAAAATAAAATCTTTGGCATATATTTGATAACACTGCCATTAAGAGGCAAAATGTTTACTACCTTAGATTTAAAAAAAAAAAATCTTAAACAGAGGACTTGCTTCAAGTTTATTTTAATAGCAGTGATTCAGCTTATTTAAAAGATGAATACTTGCACTAATTCCCCTGCTGCTCCAATCCTGCAGTTTATTGTATCTTGTGACTACATTTTTTTCCAAATATAGGGTAGATGTAAGCTGCTATTTTTTTAATAATCACTACTATATAGTGTCTTTTACTCTGTTTACAATATCAAGTATTTTTCTTACAATGACAGATGTATATGGCAAACCTTTTTCTGCTCATGTGATTAAAAGTATACTGATAGTGATTTTATTTGTAAATGAGAGCATGAGGTTGTGTTTACGCGTACGTGTAGTCAAAAAGGTTGCATCATGTCTTGCATAAGATTCCAAGAGTGTAAATTTATAAAAAGAGAGGTTGTCAAATTTATGTCACAGGCATTTTACTTAAGGAATGGTTTATATTAGAGCTTTGCGAAGTTATCAGTTTTATAACACTATTTCAATCACAAATAATTTTGTGGCTTATGATTGCTAGTCTCTAATCTATTTTTTTTTCATTTTATTTTCTCCCC